TATCTCCATATCTTGTTCTCTTGCACTGGCTACCTATAAAATATAGAATAATTTTTAAAATTTGCACGTTCATGTATAAGTCTCAATCTAAATTATTTCCTAAGTATTTATCAGATATATTAATTGAACCTAAACGCCCCGGTTTACGATCGTCTTCTTCTTCTCGCTTTTTCTTAACTCGTGTTAAACACTCTTTTGCCAAATCTGCTTTTGCTTTTTCTGGTCCTTTTCTCTGGAACTCTCTACCTACTTCTCTAACTACTTCTCCATCACTTGCGAAGTTCAGAGCGGATCTCAAGACCCATCTGTTTTCAAAATTCATTGAGGAGCGCTGTTGAACATCGCGGAAATAGCGCTTTATAAGGTAATTGATTGATTTGATTGATTGATTATATGGTGATGCTTATCGCCTAGGTAACCGCAGCGGTCAAATGATTGTAAAAGTTTCAAATGTACAGAAAATTTTATGATGCTCGTCACTAAGTTTAATTCAATTAACTAACTTGTAAATTAGAACCATGAAGCCATGTTAAAACATAAAATCTAAATTAAGATTAGTCTATTTAGTGCTAAGAAAGAGAGTTAACATGTTTTTAGTAAATATTCTTGAAAATGTTTTAAAAATAATTTTAACCGGTGGTTTAAATTCTATTAAAATACTAAATACTACTAAAGTTTTTTCTGATCGTTTACAAAAAGTCTTTTTTTCAACTTTTTTCCATAGTTTCCGCGATTCAGTAGATTTTACATTTATCTGGAGGATTCATTGGGCTTGTCTTAGGGCAGTTAAATACGAACGCAAACTTTTCAAAGTTCTGCAAAGGCACAGTGACTCTGTTTTTCAAAGTTTTAAAAAATATCATATAAATAAATAAAAAATAAGAGAGAGAAAAACCTATTTTGACGTCATTGCAAATGAAACTTTAAACCAGTTTGGAAAAAATTGGCTTCTACCTTGCAACGTTTGGACTGTGTTCATCTTTCTTCGAGTATTGAAATCCTTCATTTGTCATCTTCTCGCACCAAAGCTATTCAACGGAAAATTATAACATGATTATAAATATTGTATTTTAATTATTTTTATATCATAGCAAGATAGTATCATTGAGTGAAACCTTTATCATTGTTATGTAATGAAAAGGATGATAGCATTATTAAATGATATTGTTATAATACTCGCTGTCGTAACCGGTTTACGATGCGACGGGTTCAAATCTTCGATTGAATAAAATATTCCAAACAGTTATTAAACTTTATTTACGGAAGAAATCAACTAATCGTTTATTTCCAGTAAGTTCAAACTAATGCAACAATTAACTTTTAAATCGTTCAAAATCGATCGCTATGACAACGTCAACAAACAAATCAAATATCGCTTTAAATAATTAACCGAATCGCTATTCACAAAATCACGAATTTCACTAATCACAGATTTCACTCATCACGAATATCTTGCGACGTGCGCTTATATACTCTTCGCAAGCGTCGTTTCTAGATTCTTCCCGATGGTCCGATTCCAGCATACTCTAGAACGTTCCAGTCACTAGAACATTCTAGAATACGCTAGAATCTAGTGCGTTCGGTAGCACGGTTATAACATTACCCCCTTCTTAGTTCTGTTCGTCCCGAACAGCTTTCGTTCCGGTGTCCGCATGGTACGGAGCCAGTCTATCCAAATGAACGATCTTCATTCTTGCTCTCGGCTTCCGATATTCCTGAATACGGTAGACGACGTCATTCAAGCGGGTGATGACTTGATAAAGTCCTTCCCACCTTCGCTGGAGCTTTGGAGAACGTCCTTTCTTCCGCTGTGGGTTGTACAGCCAAACTAACTCGTCGACAGCAAAACCGCCACTCTTCCTTTTAAGTCGTATCTGGTTTTGGCCGCCTCCGTGTTTTTCATAATTTTAAGGCGTACGTAACGGTGGATATGGTTAAATCGCTGTCGAAGATTATCCACATATTCTGTTAATGGTTGGTGTGGTTCAGGTGGTACGCCATATTTCACATCAGCTGGAGTTCTTAAGGTAGTCCCAAACAGAACTCTTGATGGCGTTTCTCCAGTAGTTGTGTGGATAGCACTCCGGTATGCCATAAGAAACAATGGTATATGACGATCCAAATCCCGTTGATTTTCGTCGACTACTTTAGCCAGATGTTCAATCAGGGTTTGGTTGAATCGTTCCACCATACCGTCAGACTGTGGGTGAAGAGGTGTCGTTCGAGTTTTGTTTATACCTACAGCTTGCACATTTCACCAAACAGTTGTGACTCAAAATTTCGACCTTGATCTGAGTGGAGTTCCAATGGGACACCATATCGACTAATCCAATTGAGTACAATTTCCTCAGCGACGGTACATGCTTCTTGGTTGGGTATTGGAAACACCTCAGGCCATTTGCTGAAATAGTCCGCTACAACCAGAATGTAACGGTTTCCATAATCTGATACCGGAAAGGGTCCAGCAATATCTATAGCAATCCGTTCAAAGGGAACACCAACATTGTAGATTTGCATTGCTCCTTTTAGCTTTCTTTTGGGTCCTTTGACTGAAGCGCATGTGTTACATTTTCGACACCAGCTCTCTACATCTTCTCTAACGTGAAGCCAGTAAAATCCTTCTCGTATTTTGTCAAGGGTCTTGTTCACTCCTAAATGTCCCCCAGAAGAGCCGCCATGCATTTCATCAAGGATTTCGGTCGTTCTATTTCTTGGTATTACAACTTGCATGCGTTGTTTTGATCCATCAGCTGATTCCCGTTTTCGTTTCAGCAAATCCCCTTCCAAATACAAAGAGTCCCACTGAGCCAAATAACCCTTTAACACGCACTATATTCTGAGATGCTTTACCAGTCCGGTCGCTTGCCCTCCTTCTTCCATGGGATCAGATGTTGTAGGTCCTCATCCGCAAACTGTGCATCAGCAAGATCTGTCTGTGTTCAACCGTCTTCCGCTGATATTGTTGTTGCTCTTATGTCTTCCGATTGTATCTTCTCCTCGTGACGAGGAGAAGATACAATCGTAAGTCGTACAGCCATAAGTCGTTTCGATTTCGATGTAGTCTGGAAACGTTAATTACGGTACTGGGGGCGTCAATTCTACTAGCCAACCTCTGCTCTACAAAGTTGGCTCTTATTAGTTTTCCGCCCCTTCGTTAGAAGGGGCCGATCGTGATACGGGATCATCTTCTCTTCTTTTGCGCCATCTTGTCGCGCAATTTCGGCAGTAGTTATCTTTTAGGCGGTGTTTACAATCACGATGTAGATGGCCTTTTTTGCCACAAATCCAGCATTGGGGTACACTATGCTGTTGGGGTTCGCGTTTCACAATCACCTTCTGGCAAGAGCATTCTTCATGTACTTGGCGTAGACGTACGTCACTTTTTGTTGCTTGCTTTGCCGATTCAAAAGTGAGACTGTGCGCAACGGCATTCTTGAGTTTTCGTTTATCTGACAAGAGAAGGGATTGCTTGAGTTTCGAATCACGAAGGGCTTTGATAAACGTATCCAGGGCAGTTTTGTCTTTATGCTCGGGGTCTGATGTCGGATACGACAGCAATGTCAACCGTTCGATATCTTGTGCCAGCTGCTGAATGGATTCACCAGATCGTTGCGTTCTGTTTCTAAGTTGAGACCGATAAATCTGCTTCATGTGTTCTTCACCATAACGTAAATCCAACGCGCTAACCAGAACTTCATAGTTGAAGTGGTTCTCCGCCGGAATCGTCTGAAGAACCTCTGCTGCTGAACCTCGCAGGGCCAGTATCAGTGCTGTTGCTCGTTCTTTTCCGTTCCAACAGTTACTAGTTGCCGCTGCTTTGAACTGGGTTTTATAAACGTTCCAGGACATCTCTCCGTCAAATGCTGGTACCTTCAAAGTTCTTCCAGATGCGTGATCTAACGGCATGGCCATTTTTTTGGATTGCTCCAATTCTCGCTTCAATTTGTCTATCTTGTGATCTACCTCAACGGTCTGACGATCAAGTTTCTGTTCGATCATTTTTATTCTTGTTGACTGTTCTTCAATCTGTTCTGCCACTTTCAATTTTACGTGTTTTAGCTGGTCCTTGATCTGTTTTAACTCCTCTGTCTGTCGTTCGGACTGTTCCTTGATCTGTTGTTTTAACTCTTATGTCTGTCGTTCGGACTGTCGTTCGGACTGTTCTTTGATCTGTTTTAACTCCTCTGTCTGTCGTTCGGACTGTCGTTCGGACTGTTCTTTGATCTGTTTTATTTCAGTTGACATACTAAGCAGAAGTTCCATCATTTTAGCGGTTGTAAACGTGCCTGTGCTAATTTCATTGTCTTCGTCAGCACCATCAAACTTGAATTCGTCTGGGTTCTTACCTTCGTCAATGAGAGCTTCTCTCAGACGTGCAACTAGTACTTCTTTGTTGCCACTTGTGACAAGGTTTCGTTTCTGTAGTTCTTCTCGTAGTTGAACTACGTTCAACCCACACAGTTTTGACATCGTGTTCTTTTTCTACGAGTAGCAATTCGCTGGTCGAAGATCCCACTTCTGATACCAATGTTATAATACTCGCTGTCGTAACCGGTTTACGACGCGACGGGTTCAAATCTTCGATTGAATAAAATATTCCAAACAGTTATTAAACTTTATTTACGGAAGAAATCAACTAATCGTTTATTTCCAGTAAGTTCAAACTAACGCAACAATTAACTTTTAAATCGTTCAAAATCGATCGCTATGACAACGTCAACAAACAAATCAAATATCGCTTTAAATAATTAACCGAATCGCTATTCACAAAATCACGAATTTCACTAATCACAGATTTCACTCATCACGAATATCTTGCGACGTGCGCTTATATACTCTTCGCAAGCGTCGTTTCTAGATTCTTCCCGATGGTCCGATTCCAGCATACTCTAGAACGTTCCAGTCACTAGAACATTCTAGAATACGCTAGAATCTAGTGCATTCGGTAGCACGGTTATAACAATATCATCACATTTATTAATTTGAAAAAATGATTATCATTAAATGATATCATTGTCACTACCATTATTAAGCTATGAAAAAAATGGTAAGTATCATTGAATGAAGAAGATGATAGTATCATTGTAAGATATCTTAGTGTCTGTCAACCTGAGCAAAACTACCATCAGGCTATGATAAAATTATAGTATCATTGAATGATATCATCCTCATTAAGTAAAGAAAAGAATGATAGTGTCACCGAATGAAGAAGATGGTAGTATGATTGAATGATATCATCCTCATTATTATTAAGTAAAAAAAAAGGATGGAAGTATCACTGAATGAAGATGGTAGTATCATTGAATGATATTTAAGTGTCTGTCAACCTGGGCAAAACTGATGAAGAACAACTGATCCGAAGTGAATTGAAGTCCAGGTAACTTTTCCTTTGCTGAGTCCCCCTTCTTCATTGAGTTACGATAAGTCTGTTGGAGGTTAGTTCAACATTTTGTCATCAAAGAAATTAAAAATGATAATTTTTTTATGAAATTCTACCTGGTAAGCTATCTGTAGTCCAACCAAGTCGGCGATGTTTTCTGCAAGAGTTGATTCACCGTTCAACTGAAGACAAAAATTAGTTAACAGGTTAAAATATTTGTAAAAGTTTTTTAGAAATCGACAGGTATTCAAGTACAGTTTTAATGCACTTTTTATACTATCAACTTCATCAGTTAATTCATTGAAGGATGCTCCAATTCATCTTTTATAAGTCGAACAGCTTTCGTTTCAATTCATCTTTTATAAGTCGAATAGCTTTTTAACAGTAATTATTACAAGGAAATTTTCGAAAAATTAAAAGTGAATGACTTACGTATTCGCCAATTTGCTTAATCCAGAAATTGTTGTACTTCCTGACCAAACAGTCGGTTTTCTCCTTGTAGAGGACATCACTGCTGTTACTCCACCAGTTCCTCATGTTTCCATATCCGTCGTACAACTTACCTGAAATGAAAAAACACTGACGATTTGGTTGGCTGTAATTCGCGGACAACATTTTAAAAAATGTTGATGTCTGTATTAATCATTTTTTTATATAACAAAATAAAGCTTAGTAGGTGGACTCATTCCCAAGTTTTCCCAAAATAAGTTTCCAATAATACAATTCTTTCTCTTTTTTTAAATTTATATGAACAAGAGATGTTAAACAGGTTAGTGAAAGTTTAAAATAAGCAAGGCAAAAGTTCTCCGGTAGTTAAAAACCATTTTATCATTTGAAAATATTAACTGAAATAATAGTAACTACAATTATAACTAAAATCATAATTAAAATAATAATTAGTTAGGGGTTTCCACTCCACCCCTGCCAAGGACAGAACATTTGCCCCTCTAAGCTCTAAGTGTTTACATGGTGGAATATTTATTTTCAAACCTGAGATGTCGAATCCATGGCTTATTTCGTGGCCTATAAACATTCCGAAAGCGCCATAGTTCATTGGTCTGGTAGAACGAAGCGAAATAAAATCAATGGATCAGTAAAACATTTAAATGAAAAACTGTTCTGCTCCAAAAAAGGAAGTTTAGATACTTTGGATAGTTCTTGTTGAAGGCTGGTTGTTGCATTATGGCAACAGAGAACGCTGAAATATATTAACAATCATTTTTTTCAACAGCTTTCTAGAAATTTTTCTTATAAATTTCAAAGCAATCAGATAATTATTAACCAAAAGTTATTAATTTAATATCATTGCAATTCTCTTTTCAATATTTTTCAAAAGCATCAACAAGAAACACGCAGCAGTGCAGTGCGAATGAGCGTAAGACCACGCATCATTGACACATTGCACGTGTGCAGGCGGGGATCTCCTTGCAATCGAATTCGGTCATTGCAACAGTTGTGCCAGGCACTTTACCGTTACACCAACGCGCTGCCCTTATATATCATTACCACAAATTGATGCTGAATGTTATTTCCTAACTGCGCACCTATATCATTTGCCTGAGGATTGTATTGAGCGTTCACTGTGATTGGATCCAGAGTCCACCTACTGAAAAACAATTTTCAAAATTTAAATAAAATGAATACATTTCTTAGAAATTTATTTACGAATGGCCAAAATGTTTCAAGTTATAACGTGAACTATAAAAATTCTTGTAAAAACAATTTTTTCCCAAAAAATATTGCCAGAAATTCAAATTAAAAAATATTGGCCAATGGGTAGCCAAACTAGAGATGCAAACTGCAAAACAAACTCATTCAGTTGAGTAAAATAAGTAACTCCATTTAAAAAAAACGTTGTTGAAACTTTTTATAGGATAGAAAGTTTCAAAAATGGATAATGGTTCATTGCACTCTTCCTAGGTTCAGAAGAATTAACAACACACAAACATCATTTACATGAATAAGTGCTAAACGAGGAATCACACACGAGGTATGCGATAGACGAGGATCCTTTTGTCGTATTTGAACTCGGTCACTGCATGCACTAGGAGACAGCACCAGGCAACCTTAACTAATAGACTACCAGGGCGCCCCACTTAGAAAATTTATGGGGATGATTTTTGAAAGACGTGGAAAAAATTAGCACATAGGAGTGAACAAACACCGAACCATTCTGTTACAAGAATAACAAAATATCTGTGAAAATACTAAAATATGTTGAAAAAAATCTCACGAATATTTGTCTAATGGTTTGAAAACCATACTGTTGTCCTTATCGGCTTTGTGTTTTAGTAAGCTGAGAATGTTTTTGGTGCACTGGTTTTCATCGATCTGCATCTGATTTTCAGGTTTTCGTGGATTAAATTCTTACAAGTGTCATTCGTAATCTCGATTTAAAAAAATTTTGTCAAAACCTTTTTGTGTTTAATTTCTTGTTAAAAAATGTGTAATTCAGTTAAAAATTCAGGCGAATTAAAATACTTATGTTGGGCTTTGTGTGGTGTTGTGTGGCGCGTGTAAACCTTTATTTATTTCGTAATAAATTGGCGATGAAAACATTAAAATTTGAATTTGTACATGAAACAACAATGAATTTATAAACAGATTTTTTTCAGTGTTTTTTATAGGAACTAAAATAATTCTAAAAAAATTAGACTAACTTTTCCATAAGTAGACTCCAGGAAAGTATTGTTGAAGAGATAGTCGGGATAGCCAACTTTACGGCTCATTAAATTCAACTAAAAATAGTATCAACAGTAAAAATGATACTATATCCCTTGATATATATGATACCATATGATATTATATCATGCCATGCCCTAACTTTCACGTACTTTTACAAGTGCTTCTTCCTTAGTTGAGTCATCCATCCATTTGTTGCTTCTGATCAGGTTTTTGAATTCATATACCATCCTATCGACCATGTCAATCACCTGTTTCGCCATTGGAAATTATTGCGTATAAAATGGAAAAAAAAGTTATTCGTTGATGTAACGTACTAAATTCATAATGTCTTGCTGGAAATATTTTTCAACGTAAATTCTACTGAGAGGATCTGCGAAATATTTGGCTGTCATCTGCTCGCACTGAGTGTCAATCGGCACCTCTTTCATTGCTCCCTGCGTTATTTTGAAACACACAACAGATGGTCATAATAAAAGTTTGATAATAAAAAAAAATATGTATTCATAAATTGTGGTAAAAATTGTCATAGGCAAATTTTAGCATTGTTGAAAAATCAAAAAAACATGATTCGATTAAACACGTTGGTAAAAAATGCTGCTTTTACGTTATTTCCTCAATCCCTTTTTTTATTTACTTAAAACTGCTTTCTCGGTGGAGAAATTTACTCTACTAAAGCTCAAAATCTTGCTTCTGGTGTCCTTAACGAAAATAAATTTTTAAGGTTTGTTTCGACTAAGGTTACGACTTTGTGCCACCGTTTGTTGTTATGCTGAATATTTTCGTTTTTCTAGCAAACGGTAGAATGATAATTCAGAAAAATTGTTCCAAAATTGTTTATTTTATTTTTATACGTCTACAATTGTCACTGCGATAGTTGAATGAGAGTTAATAAGGAAAGAAAAGAGTGAGTTGGTATGGTCGGAATGGGATACTAACAGTCAGGACAGTTGTGAAGGTGTTTAAGTGGGCTTTCAGCTGAGCAGGTAGAATGAAGTTATTGAACATATTCTGAACAACTGACCAGATTACGAAATTTGCTAAAGTCCTGGGTAACAAAATTGGAAATAAAATTAAGCCAGGAAAAATTTTTTATAAAAACATTTTCAGAGATAAAATTAATTGGTTTATACTAAAATGATTCTAATAGCTGTATATTAGACAATCAATCAGTCAGTCAGTCAGTCAGTCAGTCAGTCAGTCATCCAGTCAGTCAGTCAGTCAGTCAGTCAGTCAGTCAGTCAGTCAGTCAGTCAGTCAGTCAGTCAGTCAGTCAGTCAGTCAGTCAGTCAGTCAGTCAGTCAGTCAGTCAGTCAGTCAGTCAGTCAGTCAGTCAGTCAGTCAGTCAGTCAGTCAGTCAGTCAGTCAGTCAGTCAGTCAGTCAGTCAGTCAGTCAGTCAGTCAGTCAGTCAGTCAGTCGGTCAGCCAGCCCGCCAGCCAGCCAGCCAATCAGCCAGCCAGTTAGTCAGTCAATCAATCAGTCAATCAATCAATCAATCAGTTTAAAAAACGCTATTTCCGAGATGTTTAACAGCGCTCCTTAATAAATTTTGCAAACAGATGGGTCTTGAGATTCGCTCTGAACTTCGTAAGTGATGGAAAAGTAGCCAAAGAATGAGGTTAAGAGTTCCAAAGAAAAATACCAGAAAAAGCAAATGTCATTTTAGCAAAAGAGTGTTTAACACGAGTTAAGAAGAAGTGGGAACAAGGAAACGATCGTTTATAGTAAAAATAAAACAATTGAAATGTTACAAAATATAAGTTAAAAAACAATGCATGCAATTTTAACTCGGGATTCATGTGATTAACTAATTCTTCATATAAAAAACTCAGACGATCACCTCTTCGGTGTGGTCTGAACAATGTTAGCCATTTCAATCAGATATTCTTTTTCAAGGGTCACAATTGGCGTATCGTCAACAAAATAGTTGGGAATTATGTTGCTCAGGTACAACTTCCAGTTAAACTGCAAATGAACATATAATTTTTCGTTGTTGTTAACAGAGATTGTTTCATCACAAACTTCAATTTATGGATTCATTTTTAAATGTTCCGTAAAACAATAACCTTTGTCGATAGGGTGCTGTCAAGATTTCTGTAAAGAATTTTGTTATAGGCTTCTCTTTTTAACTTTTCGTCCCTATTCTTAGAAAACTGTTGAGAAGTGGCATTTGTCAAAATTATGTGTCTAAATTCTTACAGGTTAAAATTAAAAAACTTCTCGACCTGAACGAGTTTCTTCTCGAGATTGAGGACTGCCGACATATCTTGTTGCACAGTTTGTGGGTTGTCACTGATGGCCTGCATTGCACCGACCATGAAGTTGAAGTACGCATCTATGTATTTCGTGTTCGAGTCAGAATATTGCGCTTTCGTCAGTAGGAAATTGGCCTGACCCAACTGAATGAGGGGTTACGTTTGATTAAGCAAATAATAGAATGTTTCTTCATTTTTGAAGAGTTGAAATTGTTTTAGAAAAGCATATTATTTTTCAAAAAGATGCTGGTTTGTGAGCAAAATTGAATATGTATCTAGTGTTTTAAAGTCTTGTTTCTCATAAGAACGTTACCAAACTAAGTTTTTTATCTTTACAAATTGAGTTACAAATATTATTGTACAATGCAGAAATGCTTGAAGTGTTTTGAAGAAAAGCTTGAAAGACTAAGATATACAGATGAACAAACATATCGTCAATCTATGTCGTTGGAAAAACTAGAATTTTCAAAATAGTAAACCCTTCGACAAAAATGAACTAACGTGAAAGAGAACACTATTAGAATTATCTTTATCGACTATCAGATCGCCATTGAGAATCGTGCCGTACCCAAGATTTTTCTGGATTCTTGAAACTACATCTTCCAACATCCACCTACTTTCGTCAAACTTTTCAGCGTTCAGAGCCGGACATCCGCCGAAACTGTCGATGATGTCTTTGAATGGTTTGATACCCTCGCTCGCGATTTGATCTGCGGGAGTTTTGTTGACATTTTAACTAAAATTTTTAGGTTAGTTTTAGTAGCCTTTTAAAGCTATTAGAATTAAGACAATGCCATTATTATGTCAAAGGTTGTTTGAATGTTTCAATATTTAAAATTAAATTTTTGTTAATTGAAATTATTTTTAAAAGTTTTAAAAAAATAAATAAAAATATTGTAAAACGTCCACTTTGATTAAGACAGGATTTATAAAACTTCTTTGCGTTCAACACGCTGGCTATGTCACTTGGGTTGGTTGTGCTCAAAAGTGCTGCAAACAGATAAAATAATAATTAATTAATTAATAATAACTTTCATATTGCTACTACTACAACTACTGCTACTCTGCTACTACAATTACTACTACTACTACTACTACTGTTATTAATTTTACTATCAAAATGCCTGATGTGACAGGCGGGGGAGATTACTTCGCATTCTAAACCAACCACTACAACAGCCATGCCAAGAAACTCCACCATTACACCACCGTACTGCCAGGCATCTCATAAATGACCTTTGAGTCTATTTTCAGTCAGGTTATTAATCTCAGTTATTCGGTCGACTTTGTTGCTGTCTTCAGGTATGGTAGCGTTTTTAATCCAGGAGCCACAGGCGTAGGCATAGAAGTCTTGACAGGGGTCGACGGATTCATCTAGGCTGGCTTTCACGTTCATAGCTTTAATATTCAATAGCTTTAATTTTAATATTTTTTGGCAAAACTTTTTTGGGAATTATTCTATTAAAAATAAAAATGTCTTGTTGAATATTTAATCAACAAAGGAAAAATGGATCGTCCTTTCCTAAATGAACGAATCAGGTGCGGATTTAGATAACTTATTATTCGTCAAAACATGATACTATATATCAAAAACGTCAAAATTTCTATCACCAAATTATATATTTTTATGTTCAGGAGATTGTCTACTACGTGACTCTGTTAAAAGGACACCATCTTAATTCATTATTATAGGAGCGCCGCATCCAAAAAATAATTGAATTATAGTTCGTAGTTTAAAATGATAACTGTTTGTATCTGAAATCAGAAAAGTTTAAATATTCCCGTTTTACAAAAAAAAAATTTTTTACAAACGAAAACGTAATAGCTTTAAATAAAAAAAATTCATTTATTTTACTTTCATGACATGAAAAACTTGAGATTATTGCCATGAAAAAATCAACACAAAACGAATATTCTTTTGTAGTTTGTATAAATAATGATTAAAATTTTTGTTGAAAAAATTACAAACCAATCAAGCTGCATTCATCGCTGTTACAACCCGGATTTTGTCCTGGAAAATTGTGAAAATTAAAAACTTTTGAACTAAATTTGTTTGAACAACATACCAAAAAATCTTTTTTTTAAATAAAATGTTATTTAAAAAATTGAATGACGGTTTGAAGTTTGAAATTTTAGGTGTTGGCATGGCATACCTGAAGCAATATTTTTCTTCCCAATCATTCCGAACAAAATCGCAGCAACCAGCAACATGTGGTTAGACATTCTAGGCATTTTTTTTCGAGACTAAAAAATACAAAATTAAATAAAACAATTAGAAAATTTCCTTTTAGAAATTTCAAAATGGTTAAAAACAAATTTGGCATTTCGTCATAAAAAAATTGAGATTAGCTAGCCTGCAATGTTGAAAGTTACAAATTTTTATTTAGAATATCTATAAGTGTATGTTTTATGTGTTCTGTTAATCAATATACTGATTATAAATTCCAGTTTTTCGTTATTTATTCTGTTATAAAACTGACTGTCGCAATAAAATCTCTTTTAAATAATTTCCAGATATAGACAGCGACAACATCACGTTTCGCGTCGAGAATACCCGACACATATATATATCATTCACATTCGAAACTGGTTGCTGCAACAACTAGACCAGGTTCCGTAACCGCTAGACCATCTCGCAACACAACAAAGGTACATTATTTTAAAATCAATCAGCCAGCAGACATGCTGATTAAACTTAATTCTACTTTATAAGATTTTTACTTTTTTGTCATTATCTCTTTTGCTGGTTATAACAGTTATAATTTCAAGTTTTATATCTCTTAGAATAAATCATACATTTCCGAATTTTTCAGGCATATAAATGTTTAAAAACATTTTTTAAATAATTAAAATAAAATATTGTTACTTGTGTTTTACTGTCTAGCAGCAAATCAAGTCACAAACTGCTGCTCTAATGCGGACAAACTCATAACAAGCACATAACAAGCAAGCCAGTAGTACCAGCATTCATCTTGCTATAAAACAGTAGGTTAGGTAAGCTATCAATGAATTGTTATTTCTGTGTGAATCTGCGGCATTGTTAGCTAAGAAATGCAAATAAATCGACCTACCCAAAATTTGTATTCACTTGTTTCCTAGGATAGATTAGAATTTATGTACGAACTATTTTATTTTATGTACGAAAGATCTTTAGTTTAATTCAAAATTTATGTTCATGTACGACATATCGCTGCCGGCCCAACTTGAAGTAGCAATGTTTTACTTATCTACATAACACGCTCCATTGCGTTTCTAACCAATTTTTTTTCACACCGACAATATTCACAAACTTTTTCAACAGTTGAATGTTCAACCTGTTCATCCGTTCTAAATTATGGTAAAAGAAAAAAAAATTAAAGTTTATGTGCAATTTCAGCAAAACCACCAAAGTTGTCCCTCAAACGTTAATTTTTTTGGTTATAAATTTTATGTTATATATATATTTATGTATGTATATATGCAGTAATTTATGAAATCTACCGAATTTTTAACGTTAGATAGTTTTTTACTACATTTCTCAATATTTTTAACGCAAGAAAACAACCGCCGCAACGAACCACAACAACCGACGCCCTCGCACGGGAATTTCCAGTGGGGTGGCTGTGGCGATGACGTCACGTTTGGGGTTTTGTTTAGTAAGTGGTTCACTGACGTGCCCTGGGTCAATGAGAGGGCTTCGAAAAAGTTTCTTGTCAATCTACATAACAATGCCGTGGGTAGAAAGGTTGGTGGGTGGTGGTTTTGTCTGTCTGTTGTGTGTGTTGTGTGAGTTCTGTGTGTGTGTATGTGTGATTTGTGTATGTGTGTGTGAGTTGTTGTGTTGTATGCGTGCGTGCGTGTTTTGTTTGTATGTGTATTTAGGTGTGTATTTGCTAGTAGAATAGTTTGTTGTTTGTTGTTTGTTCGTTCGTTCGTTCGTTTGTTTGTTTGTTAATTGTTGTCTGATGTCTGTTGTTTGTTAATTGTTGTTTGTTAGTTGTTTGTCACAAGTTTGACAAATGATGAAATGGATTTTGCCCTGGCTGGTTATATTATTTTAAATAAGTTATTAATTAAATTAATTGTTTAGTTGATGTGTGTGATTAATTAAATTCTATCTTTCTATTAATCGATGATGATTTGATAGATTAATTAAACTGATTGTTTAGCCGAGCTAATTGTTTTTTTTTATGACATTTGATCACCAGATATAATTATTTCTATTTATTTGTATTTTATTTAACATGATTGTGATAATAATTATTTTATGCAATTATTTTGCTTGATTTGTTGAAGTTTTGAACTTTTCCACATTGGGAAAGAGATCAAATAAATTTAATAGCTGGATGATGATCATTGAACAAAACAAAAACTGTTAAAATAATGCGCCACATGAATTAAAACTTTTAAGTTGACGTCAGAGAGTCTGGCAGTCACGTGCAAGTGCCATGGCGTTTCCGGGAGTTGTTCCCTTAAAACTTGCTGGTACGCTCTGCCGAATGCCAAGGTTGATCATCGTCATCATCATCATCATCATCACCATCATCATCACCATCATCGTCATCATCACCATCATCGTCATCACTATCATCCCAATCATCACCACCATCACCATCATCATCATCACCATCATCATCATCATCATCATCATCATTAGGCCATTGGTTTGAAGCTGCAGAAAAAATATTTCTCCTCTGTCGAAGTCAACATGAAATTGGACAAGCGGATGAGAAAGAGGAGGTGATTAATTTTTACATAGGACTATCATACCTATAAAGACCAGGGTCGAGTTTGAAAGGGCCCTCTACCTACATTCATTGTGTCTCCCTCCAATGAAGGGTCTTCTCCATAAATTATAATATAATCTTAACATAATTTTACCTGAAAAAAGCATTTGTCTGGATGAAATTTTTCTTTGGAAAAAAATCAGTAAAGCAAAAACGGAGATTGCAAGCATCTTTTTTTACTAGGAAATCATTGGCACGTTGGTAGCGTTGGATGGGTCTCTACAAATAGCTATTTATAGAGGCTTTCACAAATAATTTACAATGTAGTAGTTAAGTGTGTATAAGTCGTTAAAACCTTTAAGAATTATTTAAGAAAAAAACAATAATAATCACGACAAAATGTATTAATTAAATGGTTAATGGTGATTTCTAGAGTTATTTACAACACGCATGTTAACACACACGTAACTACAATCCTCACACAATCCTCACACAATCCTCACACAATCCACACAGAATCCTTACACATTGCATTGTGGCGATGCATGCAGATTTGCTTGCTATCAAACTCGGTATCTACAACACCAAAACTGCTATAACTTCGACTATTTAACCCAGCTCGCTTCCGTTAGTCTCCGTCCTACCAACTCGGAAATACGTGGACGAAGACGAGCTCATCTTCTCGACAATATCTCCGGACTACTGCTCTCCGGATGTCAGCGTGGGATCCGTTGGGACCGAGGGAAGGTAGGGACGAATAATAATTATAATTATAACTCTAATAATAATATTTCCTATTATTTTAATCATTGATATTTTTAATTTAAGTTTAATATTTTACAGAGCTATCAATAACACACACACACACACGCATTTTGTGAGTGAGAGTTATTAGTGAAGGCACATTAGTGGAGAGGTGAAAATTCATTTTCCCATTTTTCCCCCAAAGAGTGTGTGATGTAGACAGTACCGGGACAAAAGGTTGCAGGTCAATGTGTTGTGGCAGGGGTTACACGGTCGAAGTTCAAGAGGTCAAATATAGGTTGGTTGATTGGTTGTATGGTTGGTTGATTGGTTGTATGGTTGGTTGGTTAGTTGGTTGGTTGGATGAATAGGCTGGTTGTTTGGTTGGTTTGTTGGATAAATAGATGGCTGGCTAGATGAATAGTTAATTGATTAATTGATTAATTGGTTGAATGAACGGATTGCTTTTTAATTGGTCGGCTGGTGAATTGAAATACTGATATAATTAACGAAAGATTGATAACGAGATTGTTATTTGCTTTGTTATCATTAATCTATCTCTGTTTTAAATTGTTTTTATCATCATCGTCGTCGTCGTCACCACTACCATCACTATCATCATCATCATCATCATCATCTTTTTTATCATTATCATTATCACCATCTATTATCATTATCACCATCTATTTATTTCTTCTTTATAATCATCATCATCTTCTTCTTCCTCATCATCATCGTCATCTTCCTCATCATCATCGTTATCTTCTTCATCATCGTCGTTATCTTCCTCATCATCGTCGTCATCTTCCTCATCATCGTCGTCATCTTCCTCATCATCGTCGTCATCACAAATGCAGGTGCGAGTGCAAATACCACTGGTGCTGTTATGTCAAATGTCGGACTTGCCTCAAATCCATCCAAGTCTACAGATGCAGATGATGATAACAATTATGGTGATGATGATGGTGATGATAGTTTTGATGATGATACTGATGATGATGAAGGAGAAGATATAATCACAGTGATGGTAATGTTATGTAACGATGTTGACGAATTCATTGCTAATTTAGCATGTTGTTGATGATGATGACGAAGGTGGTTATTGTGATGATGATAAAGACGAAGATAGCTTTCGTTAATACTTTTAAAAATTGTATTATCAATATAATTATTATTTATTTGATTATTATTATTATTATTAAAATAAGTATTATTATTTTTTTTTTGCTATTTTAATCGGTAGTAAAACTATTATAGTATAAATACTTCAACATCAAAACGATGCTGTCACATCTAATTCTTCGGCTTATTGCTACACTTGTTGTTTATATGATCATATTTATACTGCAGTATTGTTGTGTTTTGGCTTCTATGTTGCAATCATTCTAGCTTCAATGAAGTCTTTTCGTTTTGTCTCTGTTTTTTTCAACTAACTTTACAAACCAATAAGCCTTGAAATCTATTCAGAACATTGTGAATGATGAAGATTTGGCCGAAGATTGCAATTTTAAACTCTAGAGAACAGGGAGTTAAAATGGTTTAGTGTAAAAGTATCCACTAGGAACTAAAAATTTTTGAAAAAGTGAAAAGGATTATAAGATAGATAGATTAAGTTCATTAAAAGTATCTTAAACGAAAAAAATATCTTAAAAATCAATTATATGGTGATGCTTAGCGCCTAGGTAACCACAGCGGTCAAATGATGGTAAAAGTTTCAAATGTACAGAAAATTTTATGATGCTCGTCATTAAGTTTTATTCAATAAACTAACTTGTAAATTAGAACAATGAAGCCATGTTAAAACATAAAATCTACATTAAGATTAGTCGATTTAGTGCTAAGAAAGAGAGTTAACATGTTTTTAGTAAATAATTTTGAAAATGTTTTAAAAATAATTTTAACCGGTGGTCTAAATTCTATTAAAATACTAAATACTACTAAAGTTTTTTCTGATCGTTTACACAAGAAGTCTTTTTTTTCAACTTTTTTCCATAGTTTCCGCGATTCAGTAGATTTTACATTTATCTGGAGGATTCATTGGGCTTGTCTTAGGGCAGTTGAATACGAACGCAAACTTTTCAAAGTTCTGCAAAGGCACAGTGGCCCTGTTTTTCAAAGTTTTAAAAAATATCATATAAATAAATAAAAAATAAGAGAGAGAAAAACCTATTTTGACGTCATTGCAAATGAAACTTTAAACCAGTTTGGAAAAAATTGGCTTCTACCTTGCAACGTTTGGACTGTGTTCATCTTTCTTCGAGTATTGAAATCCTTCATTTGACATCTTCTCGCACCAAAGCTATTCAACGGAAAATTATAACAAGATTATAAATATTGTATTTTAATTATTTTTATATCATAGCATGATAGTATCATTGAGTGAAACCTTCATCATTGTTATGTAATGAAAAGGATGATAGTATCATTAAATGATATCAACACATTTATTAATTTAAAAAACGATTATCATTAAATGATATCCTCGTCACTACCATTAAGCTATGAAAAAAAATGATAGTATCATTGAATGAAGAAGATGATAGTATCATTGAATGATATCATCCTCATTATTATTAAGTAAAAAAAAGGATGAAAGTATCACTGAATGAAGATGGTAGTATCATTGAATGATATTTAAGTGTCTGTCAACCTGGGCAAAACTGATGAAGAACAACTGATCCGAAGTGAATTGAAGTCCAAGTAACTTTTCCTTTGCTGAGTCCCCCTTCTTCATTGAGTTACGATAAGTCTGTTGGAGGTTAGTTCAACATTTTGTCATAAAAGAAATTAAAAATGGTAATTTTTTTATGAAATTCTACCTGGTCCAACCATCTATCTGTAGTCCAACCAAGTCGGCGATGTTTTCTGCAAGAGTTGATTCACCGTTCAACTGAAGACAAAAATTAGTTAACAGGTTAAAATATTTGTAAAAGTTTTTTAGAAATCGACAGGTATTCAAGTACAGTTTTAATGCACTTTTTATACTATCAACTTCATCAGTTAATTCATTGAAGGATGCTCCAATTCATCTTTTATAAGTCGAACAGCTTTCGTTTCAATTCATCTTTTATAAGTCGAATAGCTTTTTAACAGTAATTATTACAAGGAAATTTTCGAAAAACTAAAAATGAATGATTTACGTATTCGCCAATTTGCTTAATCCAGAAATTGTTGTACTTCCTGACCAAACAGTCGGTTTTCTCCTTGTAGAGGACATCACTGCTGTTACTCCACCAGTTTCTCATGTTTCCATACCCGTCGTACAACTTACCTGAAATGAAAAAACACTGACGATTTGGTTGGCTGTAATTCGCGGACAACATTTTAAAAAATGTTGATGTCTGTATTAATCATTTTTTTATATAACAAAATAAAGCTTAGTAGGTGGACTCATTCCCAAGTTTTCACAAAATAAGTTTCCAATAATACAATTCTTTCTCTTTTTTTAAATTTATATGAACAAGAGATGTTAAACAGGTTAGTGAAAGTTTAAAATAAGCAAGGCAAAAGTTCTCTGGTAGTTAAAAACCATTTTATCATTTGAAAATATTAACTGAAATAATAGTAACTACAATTATAAATAAAATCATAATTAAAATAATAATTAGATAGGGGTTTCCACTCCACCCCTGCAAAGACAGAACATTTGCCCCTCTAAGCTCTAAGTGTTTACATGGTGGAATATTTATTTCCAAACCTGAGATGTCGAATCCATGGCTTATTTCGTGGCCTATGAACATTCCGAAAGCGCCATAGTTCATTGACCTGGTAGAACGAAGCGAAATAAAATCAATGGATCAGTAAAACATTTAAATGAAAAACTGTTCTGCTCCAAAAAAAAGAAGTTTAGATACTTTGGATAGTTCTTTTGAAGACTGGTTGTTGCATCACGGCAACAGAGAACGCTGAAATAAATTAACAATCATTTTTTTCAACAGCTTTCTAGAAATTTTTCTTATAAATTTCAAAGCAATCAGATAATTATTAACCAAAAGTTATTAATTTAATATCATTGCAATTCTCTTTTCAATATTTTTCAAAGGCATCAACAAGAAACACGCAGCAGTGCGAATGATCGTGAGACCACGCATCATTGACACATTGCACGTGTGCAGGCGGGGATCTCCTTGCAATCGAATTCGGTCATTGCAACAGTTGTGCCAGGCACTTTACCGTTACACCAACGCGCTGCCCTTATATATCATTACCACAAAATGATGCTGAATGTTATTTCCTAACTGCGCACCTATATCATTTGCCTGAGGATTGTATTGAGCGTTCACTGTGATTGGATCCAGAGTCCACCTACTGAAAAACAATTTTCAAAATTTAAATAAAATGAATACATTTCTTAGAAATTTATTTACGAATGGCCAAAATGTTTCAAGTAAAAACGTGAACTATAAAAATTCTTGTAAAAACAATTTTTTCCCCAAAAATATTGCCAGAAATTCAAATTAAAAAATATTGGCCAATGGGTAGCCAAACTAGAGATGCAAACTGCAAAACAAACTCATTCAGTTAAGTAAAATAAGTAACTCCATTTAAAAAAATCGTTGTTGAAACTTTTTATAGGATAGAAAGTTTCAAAAATGGATAATGGTTCATTGCACTCTTCCTAGGTTCAGAAGAATTAACACACAAACGTCATATACATGAATAAGTGCTAAACGAGGCATCACACACGAGGTATGCGATAGACGAGGATCCTTTTGTCGTATTCGAACTCGGTCACTGCATGCACTAGGAGACAGCACCAGGCAACCTTAACTAATAGACTACCAGGGCGCCCCACTTAGAAAATTTACGGAGATGATTTTTGAAAGATGTGGAAAAAATTAGCACATAGGTGTAAACTATCACCGTACCATTCTGTTACAAGAATAACAAAATATCGGTAAAATCCTAAAAAATATTAAAAAAAATCTTACATAGTTTTGTCGGATGGTTTGAAAATCATATTGATGGCAAACTCGACACCATATTTTAGTAAGCTGAGAATGTTTTTGGTTTTTTGGTCAATCTGTATCTGATTTTCAGGTTTTCGTGGATTAAATTCTTACAAGTGTCATCGTAATCTCGATTTTAAAAAATTTTGTCAAAACCTTTTTGTGTTTAATTTCTAGTTAAAAAATGTTTAATTCAGTTAAAAATTTAGGCGAATTAAAATACTTATGTTGTGCTTTGTGTGGTGTCGTGTGACGCGTGTAAACCTTTATTTATTTCGTAATAAATTGGCAATAAAAACATTAAAATTTGAATTTGTACATGAAACAACAATGAGTTTATAAACAGATTTTTTTCAGTGTTTTTTATAGGAACTAAAATAATTCTAAAAAAATTAGACTAACTTTTCCATAAGTAGACTCCAGGAAAGTATTGTTGAAGAGATAGTCGGGATAGCCAACTTTACGGCTCATTAAATTCAACTAAAAATAGTATCAACAGTAAAAATGATACTATATCCCTTGATATATATGATACCATATGATATTATATCATGCCATGCCCTAACTTTCACGTACTTTTACAAGTGCTTCTTCCTTAGTTGAGTCATCCATCCATTTGTTGCTTCTGATCAGGTTTTTGAATTCATATACCATCCTATCGACCATGTCAATCACCTGTTTCGCCATTGGAAATTATTGCGTATAAAATGGAAAAAAAAGTTATTCGTTGATGTAACGTACTAAATTCATAATGTCTTGCTGGAAATATTTTTCAACGTAAATTCTACTGGGAGGTTCTGCGAAATATTTGGCTGTCATCTGCTCGCACTCAGTGTCAATCGGCACCTCTTTCATAGCTCCCTGCGTTATTTTTAATTATTTTCAACACGATTTTTGAAACACACAACAGATGGTCATAATAAAAGTTTGATAATAAAAAAAATATGTATTCATAAATTGTGGTAAAAATTGTTATAGGCAAATTTTAGCAATGTTGAAAAATCAAAAAAACATGATTCGATTAAACACGTCGGTAAAAAAATGCTGCTTTTACGTTATTTCCTCAATCCCTTTTTTTCTTTACTTAAAACTGCTTTCTCTGTGGAGAAATTCACTCAACTAAAGCTCAAAAAGTTGCTTCTGGTGTCCTTAACGGAAATAAATTTCCAAGGTTTGTTTCGACTAAGGTTACGACTTTGTGCCACCGTTTGTTGTTATGCTGAATATTTTCGTTTTTCTAGCAAACGGTAGAATGATAATTCAGAAAAATTGTTCCAAAATTGTTTATTTTATTTTTATACGTCTACAATTGTCACTGCGATAGTTGAATGAGAGTTAATAAGGAAAGAAAAGAGTGAGTTGGTATGGTCGGAATGGGACACTAACAGTCATGACAGTTGTGAAGGTGTTTAAGTGGGCTTTCAGCTGAGCAGGTAGGAAGAAGTTATTGAACATATTCTGAACAACTGACCACATTACGAAATTTGCTAAAGTCCTGGGTAACGAAATTGGAAATAAAATTAAACCAGGAAAAATTTTTTATAAAAACATTTTCAGAGATAAAAATAATTGGTTTATACTAAAATTATTCTAAATAGCTGTATATCAATCAATCAATCAATCAATTAATCAATCAATCAATCAATCAATCAATCAATCAATCAATCAATCAATCAATCAATCAATCAATCAATCAATCAATCAATCAATCAATCAGTCAGTCAGTCAGTCAGTCAGTCAGTCAGTCAGTCAGTCAGTCAGTCAGTCAGTCAGTCAGTCAGTCAGTCAGTCAGTCAGTCAGTCAGTCAGTCAGTCAGTCAGTCAGTCAGTCAGTCAGTCAGTCAGTCAGTCAGTCAGTCAGTCAGTCAGCCAGCCAGCCAGCCAATCAGCCAGCCAGTCAGTCAGTCAGTCAGTCAATCAATCAATCAATCAATCAATCAATCAATTAGTTTAAAAAACGCTATTTCCGCGATGTTTAACAGCGCTCCTTAATGAATTTTGCAAACAGATGGGTCTTGAGATTCGCTCTGAACTTCGTAAGTGATGGAAAAGTAGTCAAAGAATGAGGTTAAGAGTTCCAAAGAAAAATACCAGAAAAAGCAAATGTCAGTTTAGCAAAAGAGTGTTTAACACGAGCTAAGAAAAAGTGAGAACAAGGAAACGATCGTTTATAGTAAAAATAAAACAATTGAAATGTAACAAAATATAAGTTAAAAAACAATGCATGCAATTTTAACTCGGGATTCATGTGATTAACTAATTCTTTATATAAAAAACTCAGACGATCACCTCTTCGGTGTGGTCTGAACAATGTTAGCCATTTCAATCAGATATTCTTTTTCAGTGGTCACAATTGGCGTATCGTCAACAAAATAGTTGGGAATTATGTTGTTCAGGTACAACTTCCAGTTAAACTGCAAATGAACTTATAATTTTTCCTTTTGTTAACAGAGATTGTTTCATCACAAACTTCAATTTATGGATACATTTTTAAAAGTTCCGTAAAACAATAACCTTTGTCGATAGGGTGCTGTCAAGATTTTTGTAAAGAATTTTGTTATAGGCTTCCCTTTTTAACGTTTCGTCCCTATTCTTAGAAAACTGTTGAGAAGTGGCATTTGTCAAAATTATGTGTCTAAATTCTTACAGGTTAAAATAAAAAAACTTTTCGACTTGAACGAGTTTCTTCTCGAGATTGAGGACTGCCGACATATCTTGCTTCACAGTTTGTGGGTTGTCACTGATGGCCTGCATTACACCGACCATGAAGTTGAATTTCGTGTTCGAGTCAGAATATTGCGCTTTCGTCAGTAGGAAATTAGCCTGACCCAACTGAATGAGGGGTTATGTTTGGTTAAGCGAATAATAGAATGTTTCTTCATTTTTGAAGAGTTGAAATTGTTTTAGAAAAGCATTTTTAAAAAAAAGATTCTGGTTTGTGAGCAAAATTAAATATGATATCTAGTGTTTTAAAGTTTTGTTAAGATTAAGTTTTTTATCTTAACAAAAATGCTGGAAGTGTTTCGAAGAAAAGCTTGAAAGACTAAGATATACAGATGAACAAACATATCGTCAATCTATGTCGTTGGAAAAACTAGAATTTTCAAAATTGTAAACCCTTCGACAAAAATGAACTAACGTGAAAGAGCATGATATCAGAATTTTCTCTATCGGCTGTCAGACTACCCATGAGAATCGTGCCATACCCAAGAGTTTTCTGGATTCTTGAAACTACATCTTCCAACATCCACCTACTTTCGTCAAACTTGCCAGCGTTCAGAGCCGGACATCCGCCGAAACTGTCGATGATGTCTTTGAATGGTTTGATACCCTCGCTCGCGATTTGATCTGCGGGAGTTTTGTTGACATTTTAACCAAAATTTTTAGGTTAGTTTTAGTAGCCTTTTAAAGCTATTAGAATTAAGACAATGCCATTATTATGTCAAAGGTTGTTTGAATGTTTCAATATTTAAAATTAAATTTTTGTTAATTGAAATTATTTTTAAAAGTTTTAGAAAAATAAATAAAAATATTGTAAAACGTCCACTTTGATTAAGACAGGATTTATAAAACTTCTTTGCGTTCAACACGCTGGCTATGTCACTTGGGTTGGTTGTGCTCAAAAGTGCTGCAAACAGATAAAATAATAATTAATTAATTAATAATAACTTTCATATTGCTACTACTACAACTACTGCTACTCTGTTACTACAATTACTACTACTACTACTACTACTGTTATTAATTTTACTATCAAAATGCCTGATGTGACAGGCTGGCTTTCACTTTCATAGCTTTAATATTCAATAGCTTTAATTTTAATATTTTTTGGCAAAATTTTTTTGAGAATTATTCTATTCAAAATAAAAATGTTTTGTTGAATATTTAATCAAAAAAGGGAAAAAGTAATGAACGAACCAGGTGCGGATTTAGATAACTTACTATTCGTCAAAACATGATACTATATATATCAAAAACGTCAGAATTTCTATCACCAAATTATATATTTTTATGTTCAGGAGATTGTCTACTAGACAGCGACAACATCACGTTTCGCGTCGAGAATACCCGACACATATATATATCATTCACATTCGAAACTGGTTGCTGCAACAACTAGACCAGGTTCCGTAACCGCTAGACCATCTCGCAACACAACAAAGGTACATTATTTTAAAATCAATCAGCCAGCAGACATGCTGATTAAACTTAATTCTACTTTATAAGATTTTTACTTTTTTGTCATTATCTCTTTTGCTGGTTATAACAGTTATAATTTCAAGTTTTATATCTCTTAGAATAAATCATACATTTCCGAATTTTTCAGGCATATAAATGTTTAAAAACATTTTTTAAATAATTAAAATAAAATATTGTTACTTGTGTTTTACTGTCTAGCAGCAAATCAAGTCACAAACTGCTGCTCTAATGCGGACAAACTCATAACAAGCACATAACAAGCAAGCCAGTAGTACCAGCATTCATCTTGCTATAAAACAGTAGGTTAGGTAAGCTATCAATGAATTGTTATTTCTGTGTGAATCTGCGGCATTGTTAGCTAAGAAATGCAAATAAATCGACCTACCCAAAATTTGTATTCACTTGTTTCCTAGGATAGATTAGAATTTATGTACGAACTATTTTATTTTATGTACGAAAGATCTTTAGTTTAATTCAAAATTTATCTTCATTTACAAAATAACGCTGCCGGCCCAACTTGAAGTAGCAATGTTTTACTTAACTACATAACACGCTCCAATGCGTTTCTAACCAATTTTTTTCACACGGACAATATTCACAAACTTTTTCAACAGTTGAATGTTCAACCTGTTCATCCGTTCTAAATTATGGTAAAAGAGAAAAAATTAAAATTTATGTGCAATTTCAGCAAAACCACCAAAGTTGTCCGTCAAACGTTAATTTTTTTGGTTATAAATTATGTTATATATATATTTATGTATGTATATATGCAGTAATTTATGAAATCTACCGAATTTTTACCGTTAGATAGTTTTTTACTACATTTCTCAATATTTTTAACCAAATTTTTGTCGTCGTAATATATGTATCATTAACATTCGAATAATATACCATACAGTTTTCTAATTAATTCTCCAGTGTTTAGGACCTATTTTGATTTTTCAATCATCTTCAGCACTTGTTGCAGTTTATATAGAGAGTTTGTATAGCCCGGTATGGGAGACCGAGGCATGTTGGTACAATACAAAAAATTGGTTCATATTTTTTGTATTTAACTCATTAAATTTTTATTATTGCATTAAAACTACTTGAAAGAGGTCATTATTATGTAGAAATATGTCTGTCACGTATCACGAAAAATATCTTTGTAAATCCTTCACCTCGTAACTACCAACACCGATGTCATAACTTCAATAATCTCTACATTTCCAACACCAGTTTTGTAGCTTCTTGAGTTCTTTGACGATCGTCAAGAGTTCGTTTATCCGTAGGTTCAAGATTTCCGATAGATGAACACCACTGCTTCAAAAGCAAACTTTGTTGAACGTTTTCATGGATACCAACAGTAATAAAGACAATAAACTAATCCAAATGACTACATAAATCATATTGGCCACTTCGTTTCCTCTTCCCTTCTAATCTCAACTGTCTTAACCTCAATACGTAGCCAATTTTTAGCATAGACACAAATTTACAATTACATATATAGCAAAGATAACAATACTTGAATAATAAATTATATAGCGCACTTCTATCATTCCCGCGGTTATAACAATATGTTTAATTCTAGCGTGTGTTTTTTACAGCAGAAGGGTACATCTGCAAGCCTGTCATAGGGTTCAACCTACCTCGTTCACGGGACACATTGCACGAAACGCCAAGGCACGTAGAACCGGTATTTAATAACCGTTGCAAAGCAATTTTATTGCTATAAAAAATATTTTCTGATTGAAAAATTTGTTAATTATCATTAAAAACTACAGCCAGTAACCAACGAACCACGTTCTTGCGAAACAATAGCACCAACTTGCTTCACACCTTTCTGACAACAATTCTGCTCGGACGATGTACCGTAGTAATTAATTCTTGTTTCATTGTTGTTGTAGACAGCCTCTGGTTCAAACATATAACATTCATGAAATTCTAAAAAGTTATCAAAAATGAGGACATATCTATTGAAGCTAACAACAATACAATAAATAAACAATACAAGCCCGAACAATAAATGTCGCCTCAGATTCTCTGACTGAAAGGTGTAAGTGTCTTCATGAATCCAAAAAACTAATCATCCTCAGGTATTTCGTCACCAGTAGAGACACATTTCTTGGCTGAATGTAAGCAACACTGAAATTTGGCAATGCAGAATTCTGAGGGTTGTTATATTTTTTACAATATCTAAACATATTCGGATCGCAAAGATTTGTAACTGCAAGTTATAAAACATAATCGAGTAAGACAATAACGTTGTAATTTAGTATTTTTATATTTTTAATCAGCGATTAAAAATATTAACGTAGTTTTTAGGACGCGAAAATCATTTATGTTGCACGAAGCCGGTGGTTTTGGGCAGTGGAAACATTCTTAGAATAAGCACTACTGGATTCAAACACTACAGAAATATGTATCGTAAAGTTATTCACTCTTTAGCAATTGCATTTTAAAAGAACAATAGCGTCAACGACTGAAAATTACTCAAAAATGGCAAAACCACATAAGCGACATTTACTTGACGGTTTGCAGACATAAACATGACAGATTAATTAACTTGGCTGGCTCTTTACGCATTAATAATTATAAAACGCCTAACGGTATATTCGTTTTAAATAAGTGAACTTACCCAACTGGTTCAACTTACCCGTGGTTCATGAAGCCCCGGTCTTGATGCAAACGGATGAATGGAGGTGGAAAACTAACCATGGTGACAACTTTGTTGTCAATAATGATTGGACTACATGTGTAAAGAACATTAATGTATCAGATAATCCAAGAATACATGAACCTACAACGTTTCGCCTCTTTAATCCATATGATTAAGCTTAACTGAGCTGATTATAAATATTTACTACTAACTACATTAAACTTTGTTGAAAAATTTACAGACATTCTAAAGTAAAGTGTTTTATTTTCTCAATCTATTTTTGTGACTTGAAAAAAAACCAAAATATTCCAGTTGCGAATTTATTTTATTTTCAAGTAAATTTTCAGAATTATGTAATGTTTTACGAATATTTAGAGGAAAAGTTTTCCATTGAGACCCAATAACAGAATTTATTTATTTATATTAATGGAAGTTTTTGTTTTAAAATGAAAATCTGCACGACGAGTAGTAAAATCCTTTTTCTTTTTTTTAATAATTCCATAAATCCATAGTTTTGTCGAAATGAAGAAAGATGTTAGGCAAGGCTGTGTACTTTCTCCAGACCTGTACAATCTCTATAGTGAGATCATCATGAGAAAGATGGAAGATCTGTCTGGAATATCCATTGAAGGCGTGAATATTAACAATGGAACATATGCTGATAATACAGCTCTTATAGTTGATTCAATGGAAAAACTGTAAACAATTGTTTCCAAACTGGTTTATGAAAATGAAAGATTTGCAAATTAACATCAACAAAACAGAGTGCATGGTTATCAGAAAAAGCAAATGCCTCCCGATCTGCTCCATAATCATTTAATGGTGAACAGGTGAAACAACAGCTTCAATTATCTAGGAAATCTGATTTCCTCAGGTTGTAAATGTGATGTGGATATCAAAAGAAGGATGGCTACGGCGAAAGATGCATATTCTAAAATGAAAAACATCTTCACCAACGGTAAATTCAGAATATCAACAACATTAAAACTGTTAGGGTGTTACATTTTTCTTGTGCTAACTTACGGCTCTGAGTCCTGGACAATTTTTAAAGAAATGGAAAAAAAGATTAACGCTGCTGAGATGTGGTTTTTGAGAAGAATTATGTAAATTAGTTGGACCTCTCATATTCGAATGAGGATGTATTAAAACAGTCCAGTTATGAACAGAGAAAATTACTACAGATAATCCGACCGGGGCAGTTAAAGTTTTTTGGTCACATCATGCGGAAGGAAAAAATGTAAAATCTTACAACTACTGGAAAAAATTGCGGGGAAAAGAGATTGCGGTCAATAACGAATAACATTCGTGAAGTCCTTGTGTCATTTGTTGAATTGTTGAATATCACCACATTTCAACTACTTCAAAGTGTCAAAGATCGGGTTTGTGGAGGTCGACGGTCGCCAATGTGCTGAAAGGACGTGAGAGAAGAATAAGAAGCATTGAAGAAGCAAAGAAGAAGGTTGATTTTTTTATAGATGCATACGTCGTTTTATTTAAAGTTACATTTATAATGATCGGGCAAATATGTGTTTAAACATTTATTCCAACCAAAATAAATTGTATAAACTAACAAGAAAAATCTGAAAATTTCGAAATTTTCATTCTCAAAGTTCTAACTTTGAAATTTAATGTTTAAAAAGTTCAGTGTATTTATTCTTTTATTCACACATCGAGCTGGCAAATGAGGCAGTTGAGTTCCTTACAACTGACATCGCGGAACTGATATTTGCCTTGTGGATCTTGCATTTGCAAGCAATCCTCTGTTCCTCCTTGGTTGTTCGGCTCACCGCTCATCCAATTATTCATTTCCTGGACATTTTTAGACTTTTGAAATTCATCTAAAAACTTTGCCGTCCTGAATATTTTCCAGTTGAAGATGTTGGTGTTGCTGTTTCTTTTACCAGCCGTCCAGAAACTTTTTACAGTGCCAGAAATGAGACACACAGCTAAAAAATTCATTATGAAAAATTACCTCAACTTTGAATAAAAAGATTTGTATGAAAAGTATTCCTAACAAAGTATCTTTTTGTATACAAAAAATGTATTATTTTCATTTTGAACTGAAAATTATTTGAACATTTTTCTAACCGGATTAATACAAAATTGGTTTTAGTTTTAACATTTGCGTATTGTGACAGTTTCAGTAATGTTTAAAAGAACCACTAGTTGAAATTAAAATATAAAACTAATTGAAACAACACCATCAAACCTTTGTAGTTCGTATTCAGAAAAACAGTCAGCTCATGCAAAAAGTTATATGAATCAACCAAAACCAAGTTAGCCTTATGCTTTCCACATGTACGTTCACCATCATCCCATGATGCTTTTTGAGTAATAACGTAGATACACCTTCCATCAACAGAGGTGAAGTTGCCGGGACAGGGGCCTACAAGTAGATTAAATGCAATTTTTCGCATCTTAGCCTACCATGTTGAATTGAATTTAACATAAGGGTATTTGAATAACGTTACCATTCATTTAACGCAGAGGTTGGAGGTCCGCCGTGATTCAGTTTTAAACTTTTTCAATTTTAAACTTTTTCGATTTTTGAATACTTAATAAATAGGTTTGAAAATGTTCAGTGCTAATTCATTGAAATTTAGATGCTTCAATACAAAAAAAAATAAGTGTCTTGGTTCCACGCCTCAAAATTTTTTTAATAAAATTGCCAACAACGGAACTTATTCATAATTTGTTTCTAAAATTAATATCTCACTAGAATAGGAAATATGTTAAAAAATTACTGCAAGTTTTATGTTCTAATTAAACTTTGGTTGCATTGTTATAAATAAATGTTATCAGACCTTGGGCAGAAGTAGCCGACAGGCCAACACTAGCCAAAAGAAGCAATGAATGGAAGACCCTTTTGATGTCACCACCCATATCTTTCTTTGAGTCTTTTCGCTGAATATTTTGATTTAAAATTAAGAAAACTCCGACATGAATTAATAAAAAAAGTAAAAAAATATTAATAACAGTTAAATATTTTGCAAATTTGAGCCAAAAACGTTTGCTTTGCGTTCAATCGAGCTCTATGGACAGCGCATTCATTTGTTAACCAAACCACAAAATAATTTTTAATTAGATTGATTCAAACAAAAAAAAGACTCTCAAATGATAGCAATTTAGCAAGTGAAAGAGCAAATTTGGAATGAATTTACTTAAAAACCAGAGCTTCAAAATCGGTCGAATTTCAAAGAGGCCAGAGTCTGAAAATTAGTCGAGTATGTTTCATCTGACTCTGACTCAAGGTCGTGCACTTTAGAAGGTATACGCGTGTAGCGAAATGCAGTCGTTTTTATTACCGAAAATTGATCCTAATAGAGCTGTAGATAAAAAGTCGAAGTACTGTTTAATTAATTAGATACATTGGTGGATTTTAAGTGTTATTTAAAGTATTTTCATTTAGTGGTAGTATTTAAGTGAAATTATGAACCAGAAATTGGGAAAGATTTCTAGGAGTCGAAACCCAAACTCAGAAGTCGAAAGTTGGAGTCGGAAATTTGTAGCCGGAGTTGGAGCTGGAATCGACAAAATTTGTATTCGACTCCGACACTGGAAAAAGCTTTGCAATGCACTTCAAAAATTTATAAAATAAATAAAATTAAATAATAAAATTGAAAATTTGACTCAACTGTTCAGAGATGTTTAAGGTTTCAAAAGATAATTAAATAAAATTTAATTATATATTAAATGTGACAAACGAACCAAACAGCTTAAGCTAACCAGATTGAACTAAAACGTATAATTACGTTTCAATTTAAAGCATCTAAATATCACCAGATGGATTCAGTTTCAATTTGCATGTTTCAAAATAGCACCGAACCTGCTTTTCTCTTATTTGAATATTCAAAATTTTAAATTACAACTGCACGACTGCATTTGAATTTGTGTGACATTTAGCCATTTTAAAAATTTTCGAAAAATGAAAATATTTCAAGTAAAAATTCACATCTAAAATATAGCTTCAACACATTTTGTTACGCTTATTGGGAAGTTTCTCGAGTTTTTTGATAAATAAACCACATGAAAACAGACATGCTTAGAATAATGTCATTCTTGCTTGTTAAATATTTATAGATAACAATGAAGACTTTTTTTTACAAAGAGTAACGTTCAACATATGGTACAAACCCATCCTTTTGCCGAAGTTTTGGAATTCGCTTTTCCATGTTTGTTAAAATATATTAAAATAAAAATCTTATTAAAACCTGACTGCAAAAGTTGATCAGACAAATTTTCAACGAACATCTGCTACAGCTACACCATAATTTGAATAAATAATATTTTTATTAAAAAACATATTTGAACTGATGTGCCAAACTCTGATAAAAAAAAACTAATTCAATTGCTTTCATTCATTCAAATTAGAGAAATACTAATTTGCATTTACAAAACAAACGTGATTTTATCTCAGTGAATGGAAATAAGTTGAATTTAAAAATTTAAAATTTAAAAATTAAAATTTTGACTGAAAATACAGAGGAATGCTTTAGTAACATTCATCATTACATATAATAATTTCAGTTAAACATTACAAATGTACAAACTTATTTACAACTGGAATTAAAATTCATGAATTTTTCTAAATTTTTATCTTTAAACTAATAACTACCTACAAATTTTTGCGGATAAATTGATTAAAATATTTTCTTCAGATTTAACGTATTTATTCTGTAAATTTAAAAAAATCAAGTATTAGTTAATTTAATGTTAAATTGGAAGTTAATTAACACCGAACATGCTATGATTTTTCCCAATAATTGCATTTCTGACAGTCTTAATCCAATATATATATTTATATATATATTAATTTATATATAAACAAATATATATATATATATATATATATATATATATATATATATCATTTATATACATATAAAGAGAGTTTACCGCGTATCAACTGTATCGAATATGGTCTAAATCCTAATATAAAGAGAGTTTATATTATATTACGTAATAATCTATATATATGATTATATATATCCAATCCATGGTAATATCCTATATCTATGGTAACTTTTCTACGTTTATATTGCACATATATATTATATATCTACTGTTTACATTGAAGAATTGGGCGTAAATAGATTCGCCAGTTTTACGATTTACAATTTACTTGTAACAACGTTTACTATAAATTAATTTCAGTCAGTTAATCCGAAAATATAAGAAAAATGAGTGGCTTTCAATATGGCTATATTTACCGTCATAAAACGAAAAGAGAAAGGGAAAGAATAAGGGAAGCTACTGCTGCTTCTGTCGCTCCATCTTCGGATGGTGTCATTGACGATGTTGAAATGCGCGAAGCGGGCCCAGGTGATACTATTAGAAGGGGAAATGACGAACAAATACAAGCGGCTCCTAACAACCATGTTGATGCTAATGATGATGAGGATGACGATCAAGATAGTGAAGATGACAATCAAGATGGTGAAGATGAAGATCAGGATGATGACGACGACGATGACGATGGTGGTACTGGCGACAACCGCCATGCATCTGCTGCTGCTGATGATGAAGTTCATTGTGGTTGGGGAGAGATGGAGGTTGAGATGGAGGCCGAAAGGCAGAGGAAGCTTGCAGAAGAGGAGGAAATGAAACAAAATATTTTGCTGAAAGAAGCGGAAACTCTTGAAGATAATGTTATTTCTTTTTTTTCTGATAATAAATTTCATAATTCAAATTCAATTTAATTATTTTGAAACATGCTTTTTTAAATTCATTCATTCATTCATTCATTCAATAACATTTTAACCAATATTTAGTCATAAAATTGTAAAAAATCTAACCAAAGTATGCATTAAAGTTAATATATTCTACTGACTGACAATAAATGACATTAAACAAAAGTCTTGAAATAATTATTAATATATAGTTAATACATATAACCAATTATTAAATATCGTATTATATTATTATATAAAAAATATATCAGATACTTACTAATCGCACACTCAGGTCAAATCGAACCTCTACAACTACGAACACCACCTAAACTTAATCACAGTTCTGAGGAAGCTGAAATCGACGGATGCACTGAGGGCAGCTAGGGAAAGAATGAGCAAAATATTCCCACTAACCGATAGTTAGTATTAGTTCTTTGTTAACAATTAATTAATTATTCACTATTTACATATTTATATATATATGTGCGTGTGTGTGTGTGTGTTGATGTGTGTGTTTGTCTGTGTTGGATTAAGACTGCTGTCTGAATAGTAATTATTGATGGAAATCACAGCTTGTTTCGCGTTAAGTCAGTGTCCAGTTTGATTTTTTGATTTTTCTAATGGTATATCGTAAATCATTGTCAAGTTTCTTGAGTTCTAAACCAAAATCTGTATTTTCTTACTGTGCTTTTTATCAATAATATATATATGTATAGGTATACGTCCTACCTCGGAAACCGGGTCTCTGGACGCAAAACGAAGATTGATTGATTGATTGATATATGTATAGGTATATATATATATATATAATATGTTATTATATGTTTTTTTTCTAGAATTTTTTTATATGACTTTTACTCATGATGATTCACTTTTTTGTTTATAATTAATTAATTACCTTTTAATAGTTAATTAAATGATCTTAATTACCTTTCAATAGTTAATTAAATGATCTTAATTACCTTTCAATAGTTAATTAAATGATCTTAGTGAATTAATTATTTTTCCAAAGTTTCTATTTAAACTCACTTTCGGTTGTCAAATCTCTGGCGGCATTCTATTTGATGGCTGACTCTAAAGCCATTCAATGTTTGTAGAACACTTTAAATTATATGGCTGTGGTTCTCTCTTTCTCTCTCACTTTCTCTCTCTCCCTTTCTCTCTCTCTCTTTCCCCATTTTTCTTTCTATTTTATGGCTGAGCCTAAAGTCATTTAATCTCTTGATATTAATAAACGTAATTAATTAAAATATTACGGATAATTATGAAATTTAATTAATTAATTTTTCCCTTCAGAAATCTGGTTGGAGTGGTTCAACGACGAGATGGAGGCGAACCCCGACGAAATAAACGAGTACTCCGAAATGCACGAAATCAGTGCGGATGAGTATCATTATCGACTGTCGATACTGAAAAGGGCCGTCGAAGATTACGACTGTTGGTTTACTTTTTTTGGTCTAGATTCACTTTTCAGCATTATTTCTATAGAGATGGTCTTTGTGTCACTGTTATTATTCTTTTTAAAGTTATGAAACTGTTGGTAGGGTTGACGGTCGTGATGATGATGGTGAGATTGGGGGGTGACGATGATGACGACGATGGTGGTGAAGTGGAGATGGTCTCATTAATTTCAGACTAATTGGTGGATTTAAAATTCAAGTTAATCTAATTTAAAATCACTTCACAGCCGTCAAACTCTGGATGGCCATGATCCTATTCCACTCGAAGGTACTCCCACCTACGACCGACAAAGAATTTAAGGACGAGTACGAAGAGATGCTGAACATCGATCTGATGAGGAAGACTTTTGAAGAAGCGATCAAAAGAGTAGGTCACCATGCCGATGCCGACCAACTCTGGACTGAGTATCTGGACTTTGAGGAAAACGTACTCCACTATTTGAAACTCGCCCACCAAAGTGCAACTGATGGAGAAGATACTTTTGCTACTATCAGATATTCTGCATCCGTTGCTGCTATAAATGCTGCTGCTGCTGCTGTGGCTACTACCACAGATGCCACAGTTGCTACTTCTCCTGCTACAGCTGCTACTACTTCTGTTAACCTTACCCCTGAGGCTGTTGCATTTGCGGCAGAGGCAGCTGAAGCTTCTAAAGAACGACTGAATGGAATTCAGGAACAGAAAAGAATAATCAAGAAGGTTTTCTTGAAGATTATGTCCATACCAAAAATGAGTAAGTCCAATCAATCTACTCAGCCAGTCATCAATGAATCATTCATATTTTCCGTCCTACATGTGTTTCTTGTTGACATTCGATAAAGCAATAATAGACTGGACAAAAAAGTAAACCCACATCCACCAACCACAAAAAAAAACAGATCTGGTTCATTTCAACTTGCGCTACATGCGTTGGTGCGAGGGCAAGCGAAGGACCCCCCCTGTGGACGAGGCGGCGAGAGAGAGGCGGGGCTACAGTGGCTTCATTGAGTCGGCCAGACGCTTCGTAGCGGCTGAGATGGCCCTTCTCAAGGCAGGGATCAGAAAGCCGAAATTTGACTATGAGGAAAGTGAAGTTGATCGAATCGCTGACGACGAGCTCGACTTTCAACTCTTGGATGCGTTCAGAAGTTCCTTCAGTTTAGTGGGCGAACTGTGTGTTCATGAACGAAAGCTAGTTAGTGATGATGATGGTGATGATGATGATGGTGATGATGATGGTGATGATGATGATGGTGATGATGATGGTGATGGTGATGATGATAAGAAGGAGGATGGCTGGTGGGGGGTGATGATAATACTGATGATAGTTTTACAGAAATGGTGCTAAAAACAATCAATCAATCAAACAATCATGAAGTTTTACACACAGACACAAACATGTACTAACAAGCACACACACACACACACGTACAAACAAACATCTAAACATAAAGACACAAAAACACAGACGCACTCTTACACATACACAAACAGGAAGAGAAAAACACAGTGGAAAACTACGAAGCCCTTATCAACTTTTTGAAACTGAGCTCAACAGGCGAGTACGTCAGGGCAGCATACGAGAGGCTCGTCAGGGATCATTGTCTTGATAGTTCTCTCTGGTTGAAGTTTCTAGATTATTTGGTTAGTTGAATGATTGGCTGGTTGATTGATTGACTGGATGGTTGATTGACTGGATGGTTGATTGACTGGATGGTTGATTGGTTGGTTGGTTAGTTAGTTGAATGATTGGCTGGTTGATTGATTGACTGGATGGTTGATTGGTTGGTTGGTTAGTTGAATGATTGGTTGGTTTAGTGGTTGGTTGATTGGTTGGTTTAGTGGTTGGCTGGCTGGCTTGCTTGCCGTTTCAATCTTCAATGAATCCACAATCCCATTGGAACACATAATCTTAGATATTCTGTTGATCTTTCAGTTGCAGGTTATTCAGGACAAAGACCGCGATAGCATGAATAAAAACAAAGAAGGCGTCAGCAGCAATGATGACGTCAATGTCACCAAAGACAGTGAAAAAGATGAGAATCTGGAGTATTTGTTGAGAACGTACAGACGTTCGGTCCGTAACTGTTCCTGGTGTGTTGATCTCTGGATTGGCTACATTAGGACAGTTGAGAAGATCAAACTGGAACACCAAAATATTAAAAGTTTGTGGCTGATTGGCTGGTGTGATGATCTGATGATGGGGTTTTGGGGATCTGATGATGTTTTTTTGATGGTACCATGTTTCTGCTGCTTGCTATGATGATGAAGATTTTGTTTCAATAATAATAATAGCCGTGATATAGAGTTAATTTGACAGCCACAAAACCAACTAACCAATCACATTGCAGAGATTTTCAATGAAGCCCTCACCGTTGGCTTTGCCCAGCCTTATGAATATTTAAATTTATGGACTGCGTACATTGATTACCTGAGACGACGCATCGATTGGTCGAAAGGTAGCTAGCTAATTAGCATAGTTTATTCATTTTTTAAATTCAATTATTTTATTAATTGTATATTTTTTAATTTTATTATCAACTTTTTTTATAGTTTTATGCATAATCTTTGTTAATTAATGCAAATGTGATGAATAATTAATTCCAGGCCACGAATCAGAGTTGGAAGATTTGAGAGACGCCTTTGACAATGCAACCAATCAGCTCTTTCAATGTAACCTCATTAATATTCATTTATATCCATTAATTTCCATTAATATCCATCATTAATATTCATTAATATCCATCATTATTCATTAATAGTCATCATTATTCGTTAATGTTTATTAATACTTTTTATCATTCAATCTGTCCATCACTATATTAAAATCACTATATTCAAAATGTTTATCAACATCGTCATCTTTATCGTGAATGAATGAATGAATGAATGCAAGAATGAATGAATCAATCAATCATTCAATCAATTATTCATTCAATCATTTAATCAAACATTCAATCCATCATTCAACCAGTCATTAAATAACAAATTATAATGTGATATTATAAAATGAGCGTTTATTCGCTTATAATTATAGCATTTGATATGCATGAAAATGAATGAATGAATGAATGAATGAATGGATGAATGAATGGATGGATGGATGGATGAATAATAAAATGAACATTCACTCACTCATTCACTCACTCATTCACCCAACATCACAGCTTTTGGTATGAAAGGTGATCCAACTTGCAGTCTATTACAGTACAGAGCTTTCATCGAGGTATGTTCAATTTCATAACAACAATAATAATTATAATGATAATAATAATAATATTGTTATTGTTGACTATTTTCTCCATATTCGATTTCATGGCTTTCGTCCTCTTA